GATTATATCCAGGATGAGAAGAGTCTGCAGATATCCTCTCTGCCCTCCTTTTGACCCTCACAGTATATAGTTCTTCTATAGAAGGCAGGGGGGTTGCAGTTATCCTTTCTGCAGACTTAACTATCCATTGGAGTCTGAGTCTGTCCTGTTTGGTTGCAGAATCAAACCAGAGGAACAGAGAACAGACTCAATGGTTCCCCTGTAAAACTGTACCAAGAGCTCCTGGGATAATTTAAACTTCCTAAGTTGCCGCAGGAAAAACATCCTTTGCTGTGCCTTTTTAATAATGGCTGCAATGTTAAACATCCATTTCAGGTCTTGGGAAAATTATGGCCAAGGATTAGGGTTAAGGATGCAGATACAGATGAGACATGAAGAATAACCTCTTGACAGTAAGAGCTGTCAGGGGAACAGGTTACTGCATAGAGGGGTTTCTTCTCCTTCTTTCCCTGGGGTCTTCCAACGGGGGCAGGATAGTCATCTATCGGGGATTGTGAATCCTGCAATGTGCAAGAGGTTGGTGACCTCTTAGGTCCCTTCTAACTCAATGATTCTATGAAGGAGAAGAATCATATTCCATATTGTTTACTGAAATATAAACTATTATTAACATCATTATTTAATGCTTAGAAAAAAGTATTAGAAGAGAACTTTCCAGAGAAGCCATTTGAGGAGTCCAAAAGGAAACTCCTGCATTCTTTCTTATACTTTTCAGGCAGATTTGATAAGCTGCACTTTGAAGGGCAAATGCATTCATGATTTGATTGCCTACTTTGTAATCTCCACCCCCAGCGGAGGCAGGCTGTGGGCCCTGACCTCAATTAAGGAACGTCTTCTGGCAGGACCCAGGAAGAGAGCCTGTTCTGTGGTTGCACCTCCCGGTGGAACTTCACCCCCCAGCCCCTCTGGAGATCAGACTGGCTCCGACCCTGTGTGCCTTTTGCAGGGCCACGAAGATGTGGCTGTGTTCCTGGACATGGGGTCGGACTGCCAGCGTGTATCTGTGAGAACAACCTTGGGAGACAGGAGGAAAAACCGCAGCGCAGAGAACGGTCTGATAAGGGAAATCTGAGTCCAAAGGAGGGGTGGGGTGGGTTGGGAAGGCGTCTCAGGAGGGACCCTGGCTATTCTCTGGAAAGCAGAGGCAGGGGAGGGGAAGCCCTTTCAGACTGGCCAGGTTCGGTTCCTGTAACCTGACAAAAAAGGTAGCGTTAGGACTCATGGCTTGGGTTTCCTGTCCGGACTACCTCAAAGGGCTGAGACAGGGAGCCTGTGAGATGGTCACTGTAACCATGGTTCAATTGGGTTGTGCCAGCTGTGTATTTCACTTTTGTTGTGGGTTGTGTGTTTAACGGTTGTTAGCCACCCAGAGTCACCATGGCGAGATGGGTGGCCATATAAATCAAATAAAATAAGTAAATCATGTTCTTATGTAAGAAAGACGCTTTTAGCCTCAGACTAGAGGAGGATTAAATTCTAAGGAAGCTTGTCAGTATCCTCAAAATCCCAACACGTCCTGAAACTGTTCAGCCACAAAACATTCTCACTGAAAATATTAGTCTAGATAGCGTGTTGTGTGAAATCAGTGAGTGATTTATGTATCCAGCTGCCCTTCCCCAAAAGGACCAGGCTTTGAGAGCCATTTCTGTTGGGGCGGGGGAACGGGAAGAGAGACTTCTACCAGTTCTGGAGATGTCCTTAGAAAGCCTGTTCCAAACACTGCAGGATGAAATCTGGCAGGTGCATGTTTCTGAGCAGCTTTCTCCATAGGAGCTCCATCCTCAAGGGAATACGCCTCCCGAGAACCCCCCAGCTGCCTGCTTACCTTTGGGCCCATGCCCCACCATGTCTGGGTGCAAGGATACCAAGAGGAACAAAAGCACCGCAGAGGGGTAGGAAGAACATGGGTTCTAATCAGATAACAAGTCCTATGGATCGATCTAAAAGAATGAATGGAAAGTGGCCATAAGAGGAAGTGGAAGTTACTGCAACAAAAAGCATTACGGTACAGTCTGGTGGTGTGATCTGGGATGAGTTTCAGCCGGTGACTCCCGAGGAAGTAGGCAGGGCTCTCTGTGCTCTCAGCTCGGCCATCTATTTACTGGATCGGAGCCCCTCCTGGGTCATGAAAGCGGCCAGGGAGATGGACCACGGTTGGGTCCATGCTGTAGTGTCAGCCTCTTTGACAGAGGGGGTGGTGCCCTCAGCCTTGAAAGAGGTGGTGGCTCAAAGAGGCCGTTCTTTGATCCAGTGGTCTTCAATAACTGTTGACCAGTCTCCAACCTTCCCTTTCCGGGGAAGGTTGTTGAGAAGGTAGTTGGTTTGCAGCTGATGAGAACCCTGGAGGAAACGGATTATAGGTAGTCCTTGTTTAGCGACTGCCTCGGACAGCAACCATTCAGTCATGATAGTGATGAAAAGTAACTTTGTGAACTATGCCAGCATTTATGACCTTTGCAGCATCTGTCTCAGTCACGTGTTTACCATTACAGTTAGTATGCATTGTCCTGTGTAAAGTCATAAGCACAATCACGGTCACATGATTTTTCACTTAGTGACCGCTTCACTTAACAATCAAGTTGCTGGTCCCAATTATGGTTGCTAAACAAGGACTACCTGTATATAGACCCGTTTCAGGCCAGGAGTCAGTACTGAGACAGTTTTGGTCGTGCTTATTGATGACCCGTGGCGGAGTTGGGATGACGGTGCGGCATCCATCCTTACACTCCTTGATCTCTCAGCAGCTTTTCATACCGCTGACCACAGTATCCTTCTGAGCTGGCTGCATGGGTTGGGGACTGGGGACACCGCATTACAGTGGTTCTCCTCCTTTCTCTGGGGCTGGTTCCAGTTGGTGTTGGTTGGGAGGGAGAGGTCCTTCCTTTGTCTGGTGCTGCAGGGTTCTTCTCTCTCCCCTCCTTTTCAACATCTATGTGAAACCATTGGGTGAGGTCATCCACTGGTTTGGGGTTTGGTATCGTCAGTATGCTGATGATACCCAATTGTATCATTTGACTCCAAGACAGCCAAGTGAGGCTGTCCAGATTCTGTCCCAACCCATAGAGGCTGTGCAAGTTTGGATGGGGAAGAACCATCTCCAACTCAATCCTACAGGACTGAGTGCTGTGGGTATTTGGATCACCCAGATCTGGGAATATTCCAACTTCGACTTTGGATAGGGCTGCACTTCCTCATTCAAGGGTGGTGTGCAATTTGGGGGTCTTCCAGGACTCAAAGCTCCTGCTTGATGGCAGCTGTGGCTAGGCAGGCCTTTGCTGAGCTTCATCTGGTGTACCACTTGTGCCCTTAGATCGGGGGACCTTCAGACAGTCACTCATGCTCTGGCCACCTCACAGCTTGACTACTGCAACGCACTCTAAATGGGCCTGCCCTTGAAGACTATCCAGAAGCTTCAGCTGGTCCAGAATGTAGCAGTGTGGGCAATGATGGCCATGTCTTGGTATGTTCATGTAACACGGGCAGCACTGGTTGTCAGTTTGCTTCTGGGTGCGATTCATGGTACTGGTTGCTTCTGGGAAGCCAACAGGGAAGATCGCAAATGGTAATCATATGACCGCAGGATAAGTGCGAGTTGGTTGCCAAGCTCCCAGATTGCAGTCACATGACTGGGGGTACTGGGATGATCAGAACTTTGAGGACTACTCGTAAGTACTTCTTCAGCTCCATCGTAACTTTGAATGGTTGCTAAACAAGTGGTCATTAACCAAGGACTGCCTGTACAGCATGCTAAGACATAAACCATGGTTACAAACTGTGATGATTGATTCATGAGGAACTAAACTATCCAAAACTTCTTAAATACTGGAAGAAAAAAACTGATTGCACAAAACTAACCCTAACCCTAATCTACATGTGCTTTGATGCCACTCCAATCAAGCTCAAAGTGGTTTACAAAAGCAATACACCATAAATAGCCGTATTGAAAATACCTATAAATATCAGCCATCCAGCTTTCTAATCATGAGGATGGTAACAGCAACCACCACCAGCAAACAGCCCCAGTGCCCACACGCATTCCATCACCAACATCTCAATCCCTCACTCCTCAGGTGGCATACATACGTGGAACACAAGATCCAAACTTGTCAGGAAATTCAGAGATGAGGTCATCATTGATGCGGTCTTTCATAGGGCCCAGGACAATCACAGGGCGTGTGTAACTAACTGAAAAACATAAACAGACCCAGCAGCCTTTGGTTAGAGAATTTTGGTACAGTGATGGAGGAGCAAAGGAGCCATATCTCCATAGCAATAGCCAGCACCAACTTTTCTGAAAGATAGTTGCTCACCTAGGAAAATGGGAAAAGATCTGAGTACAACTGGCAATCTGGAGTCAATTCCTCAAAGACAAAGCTCAATGACCCAACTTGGAGGACCTGAAGTAGATGGCACGGATGGGCAGAGTGGACAGGAAGGCAGGCAAAGCAAAACGCAGCACGCTCCAAAGGGAGGCTTCCTCCTCCTCCTCTTTCATCCACTGACCCGGGGGAAACTTTACTGCGTCCCCTACCAACCCTGGATGGGACTCTGAAGCCTTTTCTTTGGTCTGACTGTCTGGAGTACCTTTTGCTACAGCAGGAGGAGAGGAAACAAGCCAACCCTGATCGTTGCAACTCTCCTCCGGGACCCCGGCGCAAGTCAACAAATGAGGGGAGCAAAAGGGGAGACGCAGCTCAGTTCTGGCCTTGATGTGCAGCTGTATGGACACGTGGGCTGATGTGCTGTCCTGGCTGCTAGCCAGGGTGGTTGTGGGAAGATGCAGAGACAGCAACCCCGTAGGTCCAGCCTGGTATACAGGTGTTGGGGACTAGTGCCCCAGTGGGAAAGCCGCCTCCTCCACTGCTGGGAAATAGGCTGCTGGTCTGGCTCGAAATTGGAGAAAGAGAGAGAGTGAGAGAGAAGACACGGGGAGAAAAAGACCATGTAAAAGGGAGCGTAAAGTTGCATGAGTGTGTACAGCAGCTGTCGGTTCCCAGTTGGAGAGGGAGAAGAAAAGTCCACAGGGAAGTGAAGTCCCAGAGAAACGGCATCTTCACCCAAGACCAAGACCGGAAGGAGGGAGATGGGTGTCTTTGGCAAAGCCCTGGTTTCTGGGGCAGGACGATGAAGATGGTGATCGGCTGAGCAGATGCAAGGAAAGGAGATGAGCGGTGCTGAGCGTGCCGAGTCATAAATCCAGCACATGCTTTTTACTCTCTCTTGACGAACCCAGAAATGGAGAGGGGGACAGAGCGAAGGGGGAGAAGGCTAAGCATTTAGGGGGAGAGTTAGAAGGGAGAGACTAAAGGGGAAACCCAACATCAGGGAAAAGCCGGGACTGAGTTGTAAACACCTATTGTAAATAGTTTGGCTGTATTATTATTATTATTATTATCATCATCAAACTTGTATGCCGCCCATCTCCCCCAACGGGTGACTCTCGGCAGCTCACAATAATAAAAAAGAAAAAACAAAAGTCCCTCCAACCATGGATAAAATCTTTAAATAATTTAAAAAAATATTAT